AGTGGTGAGTTTGCAAACTGCTCAGATAAAGCTAGCCCCCCATAGTTATTTAGAGAAGGTTAAAGAATGTAGGTCGGGATGGGGCAATAAGTAAGCAATATAACAAGTTTGTGTCTGAGACCTGCTGAGGATGGCAATATAGTTGGGACACATTTAGTTTACACTGAGGAACATGTGGGAAGCAGACGTTGTTTCAGTGCGCCTGTAATGGAACAATACCTACTGCAGGGACACACAGGCTCTGCAATGATTACCATAAATGCAACTGTATCATATTTTCCTATCTTGTATTGTCACAGGGAGGTTTTAAATAAAATGCTGACCTAACAGATAATCAGTACAATGGTTGGAATTTATTAAGTTGAGACAATCTCCTGGATCTATTCTCAATAGTAGCGACTCTTATTGTAAGTAGGAATGACTTTAATTTTCCTTTCTTCAATGTTCGTTTCATTCTTTTAGGCTCATGAAGACCCAATGTATGACGTCATTCGGGAAAACAAAAGGAATGAAAAAGAAACCAGGTATATACGTTGATTTGTTTCCCTTTTTTTTTAAGACATGCATTTTGTTCATATTCTTTGCTAAAATTTCCCTGAATATTTTTTTTTACTTTACTAGATTGAAGGACAGACAAAAGACAGTTTTGAGGCTGCTCTCAGACAGTCAGATCAAACACTTGAGAACCTGCAGTTTTAAAAATATATATTTTCACCTAGCAGAATGGGACAATCTCAGATGACCTGGAAATTCTCTCATGGTGGCTGACTCTCTGTGCCGGTTTCTAGCAAATCGTGTTTGACACCAGGTTATTTGAATTTGAGGATTGCTTACTATGAAGGCTCACTGTAGGTGTGTGTGTTTTTGCATGCATTACAAAAAGGTTATTCAAAGGCCAGTGGCGCTTTGAAGTCTCAGTTGCGTGTCTGTGCCACATTAATTTTGGCATCTTCTTTTAAAGGGGAAGTGAAACAGTCCTCTCTCGGCGAGCTCGCTTTCCGATTGCAAATACAGTTATTGCATCTGAAGTTGTCCTTGAGACGGTAGCTTCTGATTTTTATGCAACATTTTAGAAATTGGCTGCATCTATAATCATGTTGAAAGTTCATTTTTTTTGCACTTTTTCAAGCTTATGGAGATGTTCCCAGTTGGGTATGAGACGCCGGCCGGTTATATTCTGCTTTGCATTCCTACAATGGCTTATTGTGCATTGCCCATGCAGTGGTGTAGTATTCAGATCTTTTACTTAAGTAAAAGTATTAATACCACAATGTAAGATGTTGTCACAATTACCCAGAGCCCAAAGACACACATTCACAATACTTGTTTTGTCTAATAAACAATCCAAACCTCAAAATTATTAACAATGTCTTAAAATTATTCAAATAATTAAAAGGAAAAGCACGAAAAATGACTTTATGATCAAAATAGCTGCCAATTTTCTCTCAGTTGACTCAGTGATTAATTGACTAATCATTTCAGCTGTACATGTATAAACTGTTGGGTAGTTTAATATTTAACAAAATATTTTTTAAAAAATGTTTTGTTTGTAAAAATCTTAATTTTTTAAGTAACTAGTAACTAAATTTGTCAGATAAACGTTGGAGTAAAAAGTACAATATTTCCCCCTGAGATGTAGTGGAGTAAAAGTAGAAAGTGGCATTTTACAGAAAATACTCAAGTAAAGTACCTCTAACTTGTGCTTAAGTACAGTACTTGAGTAAATCCACCACTGTGAATGTGATACCTGACAAAGGTCCATGTTTGAGGCGGTGCGTCTCTACTAAACTCAGTATGGAGGGTTTGCAGGAATTATACCTTTTCTTTTCAAAATGTGTTTGAGGAAACAGTCTGAGCTGAGGGAAGAGAATGTTTCCTTTGTGATGGCGTTCACTTTCAGGGCCACAGGTACACTTGAGGGAGTAGGAGTAGTGTGACATCCTAAGTGTTCAGGTGATCATTCTGCTCCGTGAGATGAGCCTCACGATAATGAAGCCTGATGGACTCCTCACAAGAGCCTGGCAGCCTTTTCTCATAGAAACACTTTCATGGTTAAACGGTTTTCTGGATGTCTTCAAAAGAAAATTTAATTTCTGATGGTATAATTCTGTGATGCCAGCTCTCTTTCTGAGCTAATTAAAGGGCATGTAGTCCAGTGGCCTATAATACCGAATCAAACCCCCCCCACCCCCCTTCCTTTCTGACAAATGTTTTATATTTCATGTAGCAGTGTGGTGCTTCCACCCTCATTCTGTGATGTGTTGATGTTTTCTTCCTTCTTGAAGCTTATTTGGCTGTGGACACGTAGATATATTCATCTGACCTAGTTAGGGAGCAGCTGGAGTCACCCGTAGTCTCTGTAGTTGTGCCATTCACCAGATGTTCAAGTAACTACCTTTTTACTATTTTTTACTATTATTATTCTGATGTAATGGCTGTGAAATTGTCCCTGTCTTTTAAGAGTTGGGTGAAAGTTAAGCAACAATCGTTGTTCCTTCTTTGTGAGTATTTGTCAGTACAAACATTTTTAAAAGTCTGAGCTCGAGCTTCTATATTTGAGCAACAGGATGACCCCATTATCCAGGCATGTCACAGTGTGTTCTGAAAATCCTCTACACACCTGCAGTTTCAACTGTTGGAAATTACTGGAAATTTGTGACACAAGTAGGTACTGGGCAAACTCTACACAAGGACTCTTCAGATGCTTGCCAACCCAGGCATCCGAGTCAGCATCAGTTTTCCGCCCTCTAGTTGACTCTAATGCCATGTCCTCTTCCCCTTCTCCTCCCTGCCCTTCCTGTTGCTAGGATCCAGCAGCTGCAGCAGCTGCTCCAGGACACCACCTCCTCCAATTCAGACAGCTCCTCCTCTTCCTCGTCCTCATCCTCATCTGACCACCATCGCAGTAAGAAAAGGAAGAAGAGGAAGGACAAAAAGAAGAAAGACAAGAAGAAGAGAAAAAGGAAACGAAAGCACAAGTCCTCCAAAACCAGCGACTGCTCAGATTCAGATTGAGCGCTTGGAACTATGTGCTACGTACATTGAACGTAGGAAGAGACCGCAAATGAAGTAGCAGCAATGGCAGATCTCACGCAGTAGTGAAGTGTGTTCTTCAGAGTGCCTCAGTAAGAACGGCATTCTGGAGGCCTTTCTAAGCCTTTTCTCTGCAGGTTGAACCCCTTAAACTGTAAATCCACTGCGCATGACTTCTCCCAGCCATTTAATTCTCTCCAGGATGACGCGTTGCATTTACATCGACTCTGTTAGATCACACACCATGGGGTCATATGGAACAGATGCCTGAGTAAGTGTGTGTATATATGCCTTGGTGCATATGTTTCAAAAAGCATTAGCCGCATGGGGAATGAATCTAGTCATATGAAATGAGCCCGCTGATGTAAGAGATAAAGTTGTTTTACGAGGTATAGTAAGATCGCATGTCAGCAGATAGAGTATGTTATTAAGAGATTGTAGTTTCCACCATTTTTTATCCCTGCTTTTAAATACTTTGATTGTAGTGTGGTAAATGCAGAGAGGTGGGAAAAAAGTCCAAATTAAATGTTGCGAGTACAGTATGAATTTGTCTTCCACACAAGATTGAATGTTTGGATGCTTGTGACTGTACATAAATATTTTGAGGTTGGAATATGCTTATTTGCTCTGGAGAGAGGAAAAAGCCCACAGAGATGGGGAAAGAATGTATGTGAATGTGTTCCCTTATTCTGAGAATAAAGATGGTTCCTTTTCTGCAATGTTTACCCACTTCAAGGCTGCGAATACAAAGATGTTAATAATCTTGAGTCTCGACTTAACGGCTTAATCTACTGAGGATGTTGCAGTGAAACTCCACACATAGAAGTCTGATCATTAAAAAGTACACGGCGCAGCACTGCGGTGACCTTCCTGAGAGCCGAAAAGACGGCTTTCTTTTCATCTTGTCCTGCTTCAGAGAGTGTTTTTCTAAAATCATTCCACAGTCTGTAACCTACACAAGGCAGAGCAATCCTCTCTGTGCTGAGCTGTCATCAGCGACTCGCCAGATCCACTTCTCAACCAGCAGGACATAAACAACAAAAAAAGGTTAGCAGAGACCAGCAGCTCATGGTAGCTATACTTCACACAAGACTTTACCCCTTCAGGCCAAGTCTCGTGTCAAGAAGTCTGGCACTTCTGTTGTTCATAAGCAGCACATTTTGAACAGGAGTCCCTGTGGAAATGAACTACAAACATTCCCACTTCCTAATGACCCTGATAAAGACAATTACAGTAAACCGACAGGGAACAAGCAAACGAGATTTCCATTTAGATTTGTGTCGTAGGCTTTCTGAACAGCTAAAATGCTGTAGGGAAGTGTGTGTGTGTGTTTACGTGAGAAATCCATCAAAGAGTGGCAGATTCTACAGCCATGAGAGCGTTTTAGTTTCTGATTGGGAGCTCATTATCTCCTCTTTCTCATCTTCTTTCTGCGGCAGTTCTGTCCACCCCCCTCCCTGGTGCTTTGACCAATAACTAAAGATAAATCAGCTTCATTGAAACAGTCTGTTCCACGCTGACTTCTCTCTCTCTCTCTGAGTAGAACAATGAATCTCCCAGATGAGATTCGGTCACAAGCTGCTCACAGGGAGGCTGTGCCACGTAGAGAGAATTTGGTCAGCGGACAGTCTTTATTGAAGCACTCTGTCTTCTTGGACAAGAGACAGGTCAGATTGAGTGCCAGGACAGACTCACTGTGCAGATTGTGTTAGAGGCCCAATACATTTGCACAACACTACGTAATTAAATCACTATGGCTAGAGCTCTGCACTTCACTCATGAATAATAATCATGTTTTGCCTTATTTTGCATCATATCATCTTCACACCAGATGTGCAGATGGGCAGCCAGTGGTTGTGAAAAGAGGTCTGTCCAAAGGCAAGTGAGTTACACAACCAGGTTAATCTTAAATCCACGCATAAAGGAAAACAATCTAACCTTGTGTGATCAAAAACAAAATTAAATCGTTTTATTGGATGCAGAGGCACATTGTACTGCATAGTGAGTCTGAACTTTACTGAATGCTTCATGCACTACTTTTCAACCATGTGGGCTGGCTTAAAATTGCCCCACTGCCTCTTTTCAGTCTCAGATAAAGAGATTACATCTTCTGTGAACGCAGCCAATGTAGTCTTGACCACTCTGAAGCCGCTAAGGGAACAACAGAAAAGTTAAAAAAGAGTTTTGTTTATTTGTTTACTGCCCCCCCCCCCCCCCGGATCAGGCCTGCTTGCTTTTAGCCCATGTGTGTGTAGTCATATTAAACCTTTAGCAGAGGATACAGGCTGTCATTTAAATTGGTAGAGGTTTGCATCCTGTGTTATACACAGAGGGGGGAAAAACAAACCGAGAGAGAGGAAGAGAGATTTCTGCTGGGTGTGGCGCTCCAGATTATTTATCAGGAGAGGGCTCCTGTATTAATCCTCCTCCTGCTGAGTGGAGTCAAGGATGAGCTGCACGGCTGTCTGCTGTATTCTCTCTCTCTCTCTCTCTCTCTCTCTCTTAATCATAAACAAACACTCTGGGTTTAATATCACAAGCAGTCTGTAATCAGTGAAAAAATTAAGGGGAAGTGGCCTCATGTGGCTCAGTGCTGTTGTACTGTACTGGTCTAATCCTATATCCTGTCCTGAAACTATAGCATTAGGCCTATGTTGTGCATGGCCACTGTTGAGCTACATGAAAATGCTTCTCAACATAATGTAACATCAGAAGGTCGTAATCCCACCCTCCAAACCGTTCTGCCTGTATGGTAGAGACCAGAGAGTGTTCAATAACCATGAATTATTGAAATCATTGCTCCTGTTTGCTTTTCCCTTCCTGGCTGCCAGATTGGAGGCAGTCACATTGTTCTGTCACCAGTCCTTGGAGAGAAAAGACATCCTCAGCTTTTTGTTTGTTTATTCAGATATAATTTATTGTAAATCCCCTTCACTCACTGGTCTACATCTGTTGAGACAGTGTAGGCCAGGCTGCTGTCCACTAGGGGAGCTCAGTTGTAACATTTTAACACATGTTAACACATTTTCCTAAAACCTAATTACTTCTTTAAAAACGTGGCCACACATGTATACTTTATATGCAAATTGTTTGTATGTGTATGCTTTGTATGTATGTGGTGAAATCAAAATTGTGTTGTTGTTTTTTACAACTTTCACTGTATGTTTGCTCAGTTAACACATATTTAACCTTTCTTGGAAGTTTTATAAAATTTTAGTGTTTTGGTTTATTAGTCTGTTCGTTTGTTTAAGATATGTAAAGATGTTCATTAAAAACATGCAGAAATATCAAATCCTAACTTCTAATTTCTGAACGCTGAACAATTTTCTTATTCTTTTTATTCTTTTAAAATCCCATTTCTGCCCCGTGTTTAGCAGATTTTGCATTAATGCTATTTAATGATTTATGCCTAAATCCCATATATTTAAGAAACCATCCATCCATCGTCAACCGCTTATCCTGCGTACAGGGTCGCTGGGGGCTGGAGACAATCCCAGTTTATATCGGGCGAAAGGCGGAGTACACCCCGGGCAGGTCGCCAGTCCATCGCGGGGCCTGTTTAAGAAACCATGACAGTTAATTTAAAAAAGTAATAAAGTTATTATGAAAATAATAATTTAACCATTGACAAAAGTCTAAATGAAACCAGAGAAAGCACGCCTTGTTTTAGCAAAAACAAACATAATACACAGTCTTCTTCTGTGTGCATGTTGAACATCAGGGGCAGAATGTTTTTTGAATTATAACTGACTTAATAACAAGCTACTTCATTTATTACTCCGATTATAAAAGTCAGACAGACCTAACTGATAGAAACAAAGCAAACAGGAAAGAGCATAAGCAAGGTAAGGTGATCGTTTCCATTGAGTTCACAGTAAGAAACGACTCTACTGAAATAGTTTATTTTGATGAAATGTCACCATCCACTCGTTCTCCAGTGACTCGGTGAGTAGCAGCAGCTCTCTGCAAACATGCATCCTGTGTCTGGAATCATCAAGCCAGCCAGCAGACGGCAGAAGAAAAGAGGAAGTGGAAACATCAGCCTTCTCTCTCTCTCTCACTCTCTCTCCACGGCAGAGGAGAGAGAGAGAGGGAGGGAGGGAGAAAACACCGCTGAGTGACACACACACACAGATTTACAACACACACATACAAACTCCGGACATCAGCGCTTTTCAGTGGAAGAAGTGTCCTCGCTCCGTCAGGTTTGTCAAAGCGTTCTTCTCTTGCAGACATGTTGGCGCTGAGCAGTATTTTACAGCTTCTCTCGCGTTTGGTGCTAATTCGCGGTGTTTGGGGGGGTTTCGCTGCGCTTTGCCTCAGCGAGCGATTCTGTCTCTGTTACATGGTGGAGAGATAATAAGTGTGTTTCTCCTTGCATTTTCTCTCTCGCCTCGCTGTGTACCTCCCTACCTGTCTATTACTTTTGTTAAGTGGCCTTAGCGGCTTTGGGCGCTGTTCTTTTATTATCTATTTTTATTATTGACATGCATGTCTGATGAAAGCATCGCAGCTCACCCCGCTTTCACATAGAGACACATTGAACTGCAGTGGATATTAAACTGCCTGTGAATTTTGGTTCAAGTCGATGCTGCTGCTGCTCCCCCGGCTTGTTTGCTCAGTGCATGCTGTTTGCTCAGTGCCTAAAAAAATAAAAAGGAAAAAGTGGTGCGTTTGTAGATGCCTCCGTTTTCTCCCCCCATTGCTAATTAAAGAGCTGCTTTTTGAGGGTGTATGGTGTGTAACTCCAGCCCAGCGTGCTGGCGCACCATAGGCCTGTGATTAGCAGAGGGGAGAGAGAGAAAGCTCTGTAGCCTACTCCGTAACATATAACCAAGATGTCAAGAGGAAGTAGCCTATAATATTGCAGTTTAACTCTCATCCACTCATCTGAGGTCTAGTGCTTAACATAGGCCTACCTGTCCCTCTTTTCAAACCTGTAGCCTACATCAGGGTTCCCAGAAGTTTTCAGGTGACACTTAATTCATGTTTGTTAGATCAGTCTCTTGAAACAAAGCCAATTCCAACACCTCAGCACAGGTTGGATATGTCTTTGGGTTTCCTTTTTTTTAACTTCTGCCACACACATACAAAGTGTGTGTGTGTATGTGTGTATATATATAATCTTGTATTAGGTGTCTCTGTGTCTCTGTTTTCTCTGTAGTGAAATATGTTTGAATATCATTCTTTCCTCTTTATGTCTTCGGTCCCACAGTGGTCCTTAAAGGCCCCTTGATCACCTGTGGACCCCACTTTGAGATCCGTTGCTTAGTGATCACTCAGTAACCATAAGAGACCACAACGGCATCGGACTCCAGCCCACAACGTGCTGCGGCTCTGTCCTCCTCACGTCAGTGAGGGGCTAAGCCGTCGTCTCCTCTTGGTCCCACTGCCCCTCAAGGCCACTTCGGATCGAGTGAGAGCCCATTTACATGCCCTGTTAGCCTTCAAAGATATCCCTGTTGTGATGGAGCCGCATGCACACCGGAGTCATCGTGTAAACTCCACAGTAAATACAGGAAAATATACTCTAGATACATAAGTACAAGGACATGTGCAGACACAGACAGTGCTCAAGAGCTTGATTGCAAGGGATGCATGGGGTGGAAGTTTTGTTTAAAATGCCATTCTGGGGGTATCATCTAAATAGAAAGTTAGAGGTTCCTTGCTGTAGTTGTCCACAAGGATGTAGTGCGTTACTTGATGTGAAATCTGAGTTTCTACCAGGG